TGTCTTTTAAGCCAGACATTAAAAACATTTGCAAAAATGTAAAACAATGCCCTCTTTAATAACTTTTTTGGGAAAATAGTTGTTTTTCATCAAAACATATGTAATTTATGTTAACATCCAATGAATTTATCATGGTTACTAGAAAACAGTGCCAAAGCTTTCGGAAGTCAGTGTTCACTCTCCTTACTGCTTAAGAGTTCCCACTGATGTGTATTTGCACTGACATTTGATATTATCTAAACTCCTTAATCTTTGCCAATCTAGTGGGTATAAAATGAATCTCACGGGAAGAGGCGTTTTAACTTGCCTTTCCCTAACCACTGATAAGGCTGAATACCTTTTTACATGTTCCTTATTTCTAGAAGAAAAATTATGTTCTCTATCCCGTGTCTTGTCTTTTCTCTTCTCTACAGTGTCATTTGATGAAGAGAAGTACTGAATTAAAAAAAAATAGACTTTATGTTTTAGAGCAGTTTTAGGTTCACAGCCAACTTGGGTGGAAAGCACACAAGATTTCCCATATACCTCCTGCCCGACATATGCACAGCCTCTCCCATTATCAACGTGCTACGCCAGGGTGGTACATTTGTTACAACTGATGAACCTATGCTGATATCTCATTACTACTCAAAGTCCATAGTTTTATATCAGGGTTTATGGTACTACTGTACATTCTATAGCTTTTGACAAAAGTATGATCACATGTATCCACCATTATAGTATGATACAGAATAGACTTACTGCCCTAAAAGTGCTCTGTACTCCATCTATTCATCCTTTCCTTCCCCCTGACCCTTGACAACCAATGATCTTTTCACTGTTTGTATAGTTTTGCCTTTTCCAGAATGTCACAATGTTGGAATCATACAGTGTGTAGCCTTTTCAGATTGGCTCCTTTCATTTAGTAATATGCATTTAAAGCTCCTCCATGTCTTTTCATGGCTTGATAATTTATTTTTTTAGCACTGAATAATATTCCATTGCATGAATATATCAGTTTATTTATCCTTGGTTGACTTCCTGGTTGCTTCCAAGCCTTGGCAATTATGAACAAAGCTACTATAAACATGTGTGCAGGTTTTTGGGTAGACAAGTTTTCAACCCATTTGAATAAATACAAATGAGCACAACTGCTATGCCATATGGTAAGATATGTTTAGTCTGTAAGAAACTGCCAAACTGACCTCCAAAGAGCTGGACCATTTTGCATTCCCACCAGCAGTAAATGAGAGTTCATGTTGCTCCACATTTCTGCCTGCATTTGGTGTTGTCAGTGTTTGGGATTTCGGCCATTTCAACAGGTGTGTAGTAATATCCCACTGTTGTTTTAATTTGCAATTCCCTAATGACACATAATGTTGAGCATCTTTTCATATGCTTATTTGCCATCTGTATATCTTCTTTGGTGCGATTTCCAGGACTTTGCCCATTTTTTACTCAGGCTGTTTGTTTTCTTATTGTTGAATTTTAAGAGCTCTTTGTATACTTTGGATATACAGTTCTTCAACAGATATGGCTTTTGCAATATTTCCTTCCAGTCTATGGTTTGTCTTCTTGAAAAGCTCTGAATTTTAATTAGTTGAATTTGTCAGTTTTTTCTTTTGATTACATATTTTTAAAGAAATTCTTCTATAGTCAAGACCAAAATCATATTCTCTTATATTTTCTTGTAAAAACATTTACAATGTCCTTTTCAAGTGTCAATCTTTAATCAAGGTAGTTAAGTTATTTATGATGGCATTTAGGACTCCAACTTCTTTTTCATAAGGACACCCAATTGTCCCAACACCATTTATTGACCTTAGCCTAGTGATCTACAATGCTACCTCTGTCATATATCTAGTTTCCACATATGCATGAGTCTGTTTATTGAGAAATTGCTACTGTAATTATGTAACTTAATTGTTTGGCACACAGACAAAACATGAATTTAAAATGGTCTCTCTGTAAACTAAAGTAATTGCTTTAGAAAGACTTGATACAAGTTATTAATTAAAAACTGGTTTCAAATTAGGTATTGATGAATAAGTCAGACAGAGAAAGACAAATATCATATGATATCACTTATTATATGTAGAATCTAAAAAAAAATACAAATTTTATTTATGAACCAGAAATAAACTCATAGACATAGAAACAAAATATGGTTACCAAAGTGGAAAGGGGGACAGTGATAAATTAGGAGTTTTAGATTAAAAGATAACACATTACTATATATAAAATAAACAACAAGGACCTATTGTATAGCCCAGGGAATTATATTCAATTTCTTGTAATAAGCTATAAAGAAAAAGAAACTAAATATATGTGTGTGTGTGTGTGTGTGTGTGTGTGTGTATGTATAACTGAATCACTTTGCTGTATACCTGAAACTAACATTGTAAATCAACTACACGTCACTAAAAAATAAAGTTAAAAAAAATTAGGTATGGATGAGAAATCATAAAACACTTAAGAAAAAAATTTTTAAAAACAAAAGCACACCACACTCAGATTGCATCAAGTGTCTTTAAATGCTCAATCTAATGGAAGAAAATAAAACCGAAAATCCTAGCTGATGCATTACACTGTCTAAAAAAACCCCAAAACAAAAACAAAAAGGTGCTGTTGTTCTTCAATCAGCTGACCTCTGACAAACTTATATTCAAAGACTCTGATACATGTATATTTATATATATGTTTATCTGTAAAACAAAATGTTTAGAGTATATAAATTATTTTTATGACTTCCTTTTCTGACATTTTGATTAACTGACCAACAATGGTTGTAATCGCACTGGCCAAGAGGGCTTTTCTATAATATATAAAACTTTAAAAAAGTTTTTAAATTACTCAAAACACACCACACCAAAAAACTATGAATATATAATTCACAGAAGTAATTAAAGTGTCTAATAAATATACGAAAATATGTGTAATACTGATGAGGGATCTTAATACTAGTTGATACATTCTTCCTAGAAAGTAATGTGGCAATATGTATGCCTTATAAAGTTCATACCTTTCACCAGTAATTCCACTTCTTAGAGTCTCTGATGAAAAAATAAGGTATCTAAACAAAGATTTATGTCCAAGGGTAATCACTACAGCATTAGTTATTATTATAAAAACTTATAAACAATTCAAAAGTCTAATAGAGGAAACTGTATATTATTTATGGATTAGAGTATATTATTATTCAGTTATTAATGTTCTTTTTGTCTAGAGAATAGTCTCTAAGAATTTAACAATATGTTAAATTTAGAAAGAACACTACCACTTCACACCCATTAGGATGGCTATTATCAAAAACAAAAAACAAAAAAAGCAAGTGTTGATGAGGATGTGGAGAAATTGGAACACTTGTGCATCGTTGGTGGAAATGCAAAATGATGTACCTGCTATGGAAAACAGTATGGTGGTTCCTCAAATAATTAAAAATAGAATGACCATATGATCCAGCAATTCCACTTTTGGAAATATACCCAAAAGAATTTAAATCAGGATCTCAAAGAGATATTGGTACACCCATCTTCATAGTAGCATTATTCACAATAGCCAAAAGGCTGAAGCAACCCTAATGTCCAACATATAAATGGATAAACCAAACGTGGTATATACATACAATGCAATACTACTCAGCCTCATAAAGGAAGGAAACTCTGACACATGCTATCACATGGATGAACCTTGAGGCTAAGTGAAATAAGGCAGACACAAAAGAGACAAATAGTGCACAATTACACCTATATGATGTACCTAGAGTAGTCAAATACATCAAGTCAAATATAGTAGAATCGTGGCTGCCAGGGACCATGGAGTTGTTTAATTGGCTACAGAATTTCAGTTCTGTAAGATGAAAAGAGTTCTGGAGATGAGCTGTAAAATAATGTGAATGTACTTAGTGCTGAACTATACACTAAAAATGGTTAAGATGGTAAGTCTTATATTAATGTATATCTTTCCACAATTTTTAAAAGTACATTTTTAAATTTAACTGCAATTAAAAACCTAATATAGTCCTTAAGTTAAAAAATGGAACTCTGAATAAGGCTAAATTAAAAATACCATGGACAGACCACATATTTGTCTTAGAGTTTTCTATCAGCCAACTTATAAAGAATCAACTATAGAATTATACTGTTCATAAAATTAAAAAAAATTATTCAAGAGGGGCATCAATGAGACAAACTGCTCTTGAGCAAACTTGTCTGATTGTTTTGGGGAGATCTTTAGGATAATCTTCTACTTATTGCCTGTGATCACCTAGCACCTCCATGAAATGATTTTTCACCAGAGTGGATGGCTTAATAGAACATGAGAATTATGCCAGGTATGTCATGATGGGTGCTGCTTATAAGTAGCAGCTTACACTTCAATAGTAAGGGATTAATTTATAAACTATTAATTTAAAGCTCCTTGTTGAATGTGTTTTCTCTCTTAAATATTCCTGAAGATTCTCTGTCAAATATCCTTCTGTGTTTTAAAAAATAATGCTCACCTGTTTTCTGTTTATAATCAAAGATTAGGCAAAAACTTATTGTTCAGTATCTCAAATAAGGTTAAAGGAAACTGATAGATGTTACCTCTTCATCCCTGAAGAAAAGATGAAAAGGAAACGCTCCTTCCTACACCTTTTCTGGAACACCACTTTCCACCCCTCTACATGCTCTGGCAAACAAACAAACAAAAAACCAAATCCAAACAGGAAGAGTCACATTTGCAAGACTTGATTATACTTTATGGGCTCCTCTGTTGCACATGCCCACAGCCAAATGAAAGCCTCACTTCCTGGATTTAAGAGACAAACCTATGTGTGTGCATGCTTGTACAGACAGATACACACCAAACTGTCAACAGGTCCATGTTCTCTAAACCATGCATTCTCAACAGGAATTACGTTGCTCCTGTCGCAATGAAAATGGTTCTCAGTGGCAAGTGGGGGAATGTGAAAAACACCTTCGCTATTACAGTGGTCTGTGGCCCTCCAACGGGTCATAGTACACAAGGAAACATACAGCATATGTGTAGTATTAAAATTTCATGGGTGAGCGTGATTAGGAGGAAAAAATCTTAAAAAGGTTCCTTAGGGGATAATAATGAAAAAAAAGGTTGAGAAATACTGCTTTAAAGCAAAGTTCCCCAACCAGTATGCAGAAATTAAAGACATGGGTTACAGGTATCGTGTAACCTGCAGTGCTGAGTGTTGTGATCCTCTCAGGCCTCTGAGGATGCAGTCAGGGCCTGCAGAGGGGGCGGTCTGGAGCGTTTTCCTCTTTATTCGGGCGCGCCTCCAAATATCATCTGCTGTGGGTGCTATTATGTGAGAAAGGTCGGAGACACTGAGTTACTACTGCAGAGATGTATTACTTTTACAGTAAGTAACAATTTTTAAGAAAACACTTTTTATTTAAATGTTGTTTTCAATCTCTTCTTAGGTCTAGCATAATAGGTAGTCAAGAATCCAAAGTTCTATTCAGAATATGCTCTAAAAATGTCAACTGTCTAGTTGAGAGCTCTTTTAAAAGAATTAACCTTGCCCACTGAACCTACTGAGGGACAGTGGTCATTTTTTGTATCACGTCATTTAACACTGGGAACAAAACCAGGAGCGTTATCACTTAAGAAGTGACAAATGTCAGGAGTAGTCACAGTGGCCATTTATAAACCAAATATGAGGGAGTAAAAAACGCATACACGAGGGAGATAGGAGGCCCAGAGAGAACAGAACAGATGCACAGAGATGACATGAGGGAGACTAGGAGGTCCACGAAAGCAAAGTCCCTCATTTTTTAATGTGGTCCCAGCTCCAATGTCCTTCGTGCCCAACAGTACTGATTTTGCTCTTTGTTTTAAGTCAACTTAAGTAGATCTGTGCTCCTTGCATTGTAATGTAAGTCTAGTGCTCTTTAAATTATTATACAAGCCTAAAAAATAGTAAGTATAACCTGGCAGGAATCTGGCTTAGATGTTAAAAAAAACTAACACTAGCATGCCTAGGTCAGAACATAGGACTTCTTGGAATCTTCCTTCTAACTATTTCTGTAAAGAAGATAAAGGTAATAATAAAGTGGCTTGCTTTATAAAATTATTTCAAATTAGTTAAAAGTATAAATATCGTAAAAAATAACTTTAGAGTGCTTGGTCTGTAGACTCTCTTCCTAAAAATAACTAAGTGCCAGACTAGTTGTTTGTAAAATAAAAAGAGAAGAAGAAGAGCTGTAGGGAAAAACCTATAGTAGAAACTCAGTGCATCCAACCTTTACAACTGTAGAGAAAAAAACATGAAGCAATGCTTTTCTGATGAGAAATAAAATAATACAGTGCACCAGACGAAGAGTTTTGGAGGTGGATGGTGGTGATGGTAGCACATTATGAATGTATTTAATACAACTGAACTATACACTTAAAAACAGTAAGGATGGTATATTTTATGTTATGTATATTTTATATTCATAAAAATTAGAAAAAAAAAATAGCACAATGTCGCCTAACCTACTAGATTACTTTTATGTATCCTGCAAAGTAATTTCAGCCACCTGCAGGAATATAAGCATGCATTCCCAACTCCAGCCACCCCCCAATCCTGCCAGTACCTTGAACATCTCGTCCTAAAACTTCCACATAGTTCTGATCTTTTAAGACTTCCTGGTCATCTTCCTCCAAACCATATTCTGGCTTCTTTACTATTTTTTTTGTGTTGACCAAAAGCTGGGCTCGCTCCTTTTTAATTTTAGCTCCTATAAGAATATCAAAAGAATTAGAACATGACAGGTATAAATTCTTTCTAATCACTACATTTAAATAAGTAAACTGTACTATGATGTTATCATTACTTAAAAGCTGGAAAAAAATTCAGTGTTTTGTCTTTGATTCAAGTACAGACCTCTCTTCCAGTTTATATAAGTTAAAAAAAACCTTGAAAGTGTATATTTTGGGAGGTCAAAATAACTATACATTTTAATTACAATGGGTAGTTATCACTTACCATTACTAAGAACATTTCATATTAGATGAGGTTTTATTATTTCTAATTTTCAATAAAGTTTCAATGGAATAAACTAAAAAGTAAACTAGTTTTTATTTGCAGTCCTACTAGATCAAACATTCTGTGTTATATTTTCAAAATGAAAAGTTAAACTATTTTAAAAAGTGAAATGATACATAACCAATGTATAAGCATCTCTTCAATTGTATAATCACACAGTACCTCCTTCTCTATCAAGAATGTGGTTAAGAACATCATCATCTCCCACAAACTGAACCTCCAGCATCTTTTCTTCCTTTGATTCCAGCTTACTCATCATTGCCAACCTAAACAAAAACAATAAAGCACTCAAAAGTGATGAAAATTCCTATCAACAGCCAAATAAACATTCATATAATGAATATATGTATTTGTATAACATTTTTAAGTCTTTTAAGTATGAAAAATATATTATGTATTATTATATTAAATACTGTGTTTTTGATAATAAGTAACTCAATTCTTTATCTGAAAAATGGAAGAGAGGAAGAAGTGTCTGAGATTAGGAAAAAGCCAAACCCAATCAAGGTAACTAAAATGTAATGACAGGAAAACAACTCTTCCTGTAAAGAAAGCTCTAACCAATCTACAGAATAACATAACCTGAAAGGGGAGGTTAATACATGAGAGTTTAGAAAAGGGACAGCCAAACAAAGAATAATAGTTTGGTGGATTTTAATATCTGTTCACTAGAAAGATAGTCCACTGGGGGAAGTCTGTGTACTTCACTGGTGTACCAAGCCTGGACCAAATAATCCTCAGGCACCCTCCTTTACTACTGAATTGCATGCTTACCAAACAACTTTACAATTATGAATATGGCTTTCTAGGTATCCTGGTAACTAAACAGTAAGCATAAATTTTTGCAATACTTTATAGTTAGTTCTTCAGTGAACAATTTTCAGAGTTTGGCAAGCAGAACTTTGATCACCTCTGGCTACTCTGACAAAAATCTAGTTTCAGAACTTATAATGCTAATGGCCTGAAATGAATGAATGATTCCAACTAGCTGCCAGCTAATCAGTGTACCCCAAAAAAGAATTTTTGTCTCCTCTCTCACTTATAAATCCTATTCATGCCTTTTCTCCTGGCAAGAGGATCTACTGAGTCCCGCATGAATCTGTTGTTTTGCATGCAGATTACTTACTAAATGTTGCCAAGTTTTCTTTTGTAACTAGCCCACTTAAATGCTTTGTCTCAGTTTTCATTTACCTTTAAAGGTACTACACATTCTGCAGCTGGAAAATTCAGGTCGGGTCACCTATAAGTGGAAAAAGAACTCAGTCAGATCAGCTAATGGGAAAATGAAAGCAACCAAAGAAGTTCATGAATTTTAACAAACAAGATGTATAGACAAAGGCAGTTCTTACAAAGCTAAAGTTGTTACGATGGCAAGGAAACAGTAAAACGACCACAGCCATTTTGGCCAGGAAGCCTTAGAGACTGAGATCTAACCTGCGAGGGGGCAGGTGGGTGGAGGAAGGAGGTCGAAATTTGAGCACTCACTATGTGCTGGACACCATTTTGAATATTCTATATGTATTCTCATTCAATCCTCAGAACAATTCTATTAGGTTTATATATAAAGGTATTACTTCATCTATAATTAGTATGACCATTGCCAGTAGAACATGTACTTTGGGGCGAACTTTGCAGTCATGATACTGCTTCTTATTATGGGGAATTTGAGTGTACTAGAGAAAAAATTTAATGCATCTATGTGACATTTATATAAAATTAAGAGACACAATTTCTTTCTACCTGTATAAAATAAAAGTTCTTTTTGAGGGGCTGTTTGTCAAGCTCTGTGTTAGGCACTTCTACATACACCAGATCAATAAATCCTCAGATTCTCTGAGGTAGTTAAAAATGTATGTAATTTCCCCAATTTACAGATGAGTACATTGAGGTTATATATTTTAAATTACCCAAATTCACACAATTAGAAAGTGTGTTAGGGATGAAATCCAAGTCTGACTAATTCCAAAGAAACTGATCATTCTTTTAAATGACACACTTCTCCTGCATTAAATACAAATCTGCTATCCTAAATGCTTGTCTTGACCTCTGGAAACTATTCATAACCTGTTTAGTCATTTTCCCACACAGCAGTTCAAATATCCAAGGACTTCCATGGTTCCCCTATTCTTCCACTTCATTAGGTTAAACATCACTAGAACACCAAGCATGCCTTTAAGAGCAGCATAACCTATATTATTTAAAATTATATACTGCTGTGCTCTGCAAGAATTGAAGCAGTAACAATAAGCAAATGCAATAAAACAAATGATAAACTATAAATACTAAAGGGAATCTGGATCAGGGAAAATATAAAGGCAGAAAATTATATAAAGATTTTGGCTCTGAGCTTCCTGGTAATCTATAGGGGTAAAGGTCAGTTATATAATTCTTATTAGCAAAATCTTAGTAGTTCCTTCAGGGGCAAAAAAAAAAATTTTTTTTTCAAGGAAAATTTACAAACAAATAGTCCAGACAACTGAATACTGTCCTAGGCAATTTCCCTGTGGTATTTTACATAAGAATTGCCTTACTGCTTGGACAGAGGCAGCCTTCGTCTTGTTTGTAGCCGACTGCACTTATATGTAATTTCCTTTTCTAGATTTTTAAGGCATCTTATTATACAGTACAGAATCACCAAATTGAAGAAATTTCTACAAAGACCTTGAAAGAAAACTTTCCTTCCTTCTTCTCCAACAATTCCTGAAAACAAAAACAAAAAACCCCCACTACCATCACACAATTAAATGGAAATATTTAATGACCATTTACTCTTCAAGGCACTGTCTTGAGTGCTTACTTTTAAAGTGGACTCCTTTCAGGGAGTTAACAAGGTAATACAGCAGTACAAAATGAGTGTTAACAGCAGACACTGTCCTTTGAGAGCAAATAAAGGATTTGCTAAAATTTTAAAAAACATAATCCTTTAAAAAAAAAAAGAAAAGAAGCTTGTATAGATTAGTGGTTATGCACCAATCTGAGTATCAGATAAACCTTGGTTCTGATCTTAACTCCACATACATACACACAGCTGTGTGACTTTGGACAAAGTTGTGACGACTGAGATCACGTGCTACCTATGAAGATGCAAATTAGGCTCCCTATTATGGGTATTTTCACTTTACACTTCAACTTAACCATGCTGATCTCTTATACACCTCAATATCCCACCAATTTTATCCAATGAGATAAAATTCATATTTTATGATGAGAAAAATTTAAACATAAAATTTTTCTTTGCCTATTTGGGCCTCCTCCCTTCCCCTTTAGTGTGTATTGCACATCTACATTAACCAGACCTCCTTAGGAGATAACATTCCTTCTTAACCTTGAGGGGCCACCATGACCCTTGACCCACGACTCGCTTTGTAATGTGTAGATGTGGATTGTGTAAACTGTCGATAATACGTCATTTAATGTACTGTCCACAGTCTTAAAAACATGTAACTGTGCTTTGACCTCTAACAGGTGGAACAGTCTTCAGAGTTTTCTAAGAGGCTGTTCCCAGGTGGTAATCCTGTTTGGCTCAAAATTTTCCATTTCTTTCAACTGATCGACTACTGATTAATTTTCCTTGACACAACTAACAGCAAAAGTGCTAAACAAATGTTGAATAAATGATGTTCATTTCACGTGCAGTGTCACTACACAAAGGTGTGGGGCCGTGCTATTTTTCTTCAGATTGCAATTTAGTTAGGGAGAAGTGTAATGGTTCTATCAGGATTTCGCTTGTAAAACGAAAAGTAATGCATCAACATCCTTTTAACTTAAAAAGCTCTGTCAAACGAGCCTCGTTTATCAATATTTTACCATCAAGCACTGTCCCAAGGTGACTGTTCAGTTAGGAGGATTCATTTGGTACTTCCAGGCTGGGATGACATTAAAAGGTTCTCGCTCCAGTGGCAGCCAGTTCTGGGACAAGATCTCTTCCTCCGTGGCCCTCACTGTACCTGCTCCTCCCCGGGATACTTTACTACTTTCGTAATGGATTTTTACAGATCTCTCCCTACAAGCACAAGGCTTCTTACGCCAGGAAACATGTATGCTGGTAATAGACATCCCTTGCACAGAAGACCCATCACTGCTGGACAGACGAACGGTCTTTCAAGAGGGAGCCTGTCACCCCAACAAATATTTACAGACTTCGGTCTGGGCCTCGCGCAACTGACTAGTTGGCTGCGCTCCGCCAGCTGGGGGTCCTCAGGCCGGCCGGGCTGGGGACAGCCTGGGGAGGGCAGAGATGGAGGTGCGGCGTCCCTGCCCCTAGTGCCGAGGCGAAGGCCGGGAACTGGGTTCCCCTAGACTCACCTCACAAGCCCCAGCTAAGCAGGAGAGGGCGGCAGGCTGCCCCGCCGCCCCACCACGCACGCCAGGTCTCCGCCAGGCGCGCCTACTGGACTCCACTCCGCTGAATGGTCGGCGCTGGGAAGGCGGCTTCGCCCCAGCAGGGAAAGCCAGATTCTGGGAGACAGTGCGGGACCAGGGTCGCAGGGTCGAGCAGGGGAGCCCCGGAGGCCGGCGGGGGGATGGGAGGCCCGCCTGCGGCACACCGAATCTCCCGCCCTGCTCGGGGGGCGGAGCCCCGGGGAGCCAATAGGAAGTGGAGTCGGCCGAAAGCGACGGTTCTGCGGACCAGTGGGCGCCAGCCTATTGGCTCCGCCCACCAAAACCCGAGGAAAACGAATCCCTAAGCGCTGGGTTCTGGGGCCTTGCCTTTTCTCTTTCCGTTTCCGGGGAAGGGAGAAGGAAGTGCTGGTTACACCTGAGGAAACTTGAGGAGTTGTAGCGGACTGAGCCGTCTCCCTGTGTTTAGGCAATCTTAAAAGTGCTCACTGGTTTCTTTGGATGTCTTCTTTTGAGGGAAAAAGATAGTGGGGATGAATTTGCGTTTATTTATTTATTTACTTTTAAACTTTTCCTCATTTGGTGTGAAAGGTAGCATCTCAAGAAGAGGAGAAATACTGAAATTAGGGCCTGGGCACTGAATATGGAAGTGGGATCAGGCTGCTAATAGGATGAAGAAACGGGTAAAATAGAAGAAAAGAAATGAACTTGCTGGGGTAACAGTATTTCCCACCCATGTGATAACGTTACTCTATTGAGTGAGCTAAACACTATCTCTGCCCTCAGAGTAGGTTCTATAGGGAAAGATACTGAACAGACAATATTGAGAAAATGCTACGATTTGGGAAGTCCAGTGTTTATTGAGCCATGTGGCAGGAGTATCTAATTCAAGGACAGAAGGATTCAGGAACAATTTCCTTGGAGGAAGAGATATTTATACTAAAACTTGAAGACTGAGTAGATTTAAGCCAGGCAAAGAGGAGGGGTAAAATTTTCCAGGTGGAAAGCCCAAATCAATATAGCAGATGCATAAAGGGACAAGAGGCAAGTGCCAAAGTTTGATCTGTTCTTAAGAAGGGCTAGTTTGGCCCTTCTGGCACTAGTCATAATGGTATTGAAAGATCAGTCTGGATAAAAGAGGTAAGGAAGGAAGAGATGATATCATACCATTTTGGAAGCTGTTTAGGAAATCCATTTGAGAAATAGGAATGATAGTAGCCTGGATATCTCAATATTTCATTTTGATTAGCAGGATTTAAGAAAACAAAAGAGAAAGGTAAATGTCTCTACTTTAGAAATAAATAATTTGGGAGGGGGGGTGAGTTGAGAGAAGAGGAAAGAGAACACAGCCAACAGTTAACAATGAAGTACTTGAACAATTCTTAAAAAATTGAAGATCTAGGAATATTGACTATTCAACTAATATGTTCTTTATGTTTCTGTGGTGTAGACTCTCTTCCATCTCCCCTGCAAATCTTAAAGTCTTCTACAGACTTAGAGGACTTGGTGTGAGTGGTGGTTTGTTTTTAGGGTGTATGTGTGGGAAATGGAGAGAAGGAGCTGAGTCTTCCTTTCAGACTGATACTAGGATAGATAAAAAACAAAGAGCTGTACCATTCAGAATGGAGAACCACAATTCATGGGTGGCAGAAAGTTGAAGACAGAGGTGACTATAAAATGGCAACTCCCCCAAAGGATTCACAGACATTTTGGGTAGAACATTAGACTTTTCCATAGGGAAAGAGAGGACCAGGTTGATTTTATGTACATCTTAAGGGGGCAGAGATGCCAGCAGCTTAATTGGGTTATAGTTTGAAATTAAGGGCCTGGCTTTAAATGTCTCTAATATAATCTCTCAAACATGGTGAATTGAACACTGTCTTGAAATGCCACTAAAGAGTCAAAAAAATTTTTTTAGTATAAACATACACACAAAAGAACAGGAGAGAAGGTGAGATGGGTTAATAAAATTTTGAAAGATGTGTGGTGATCAGGCAAACAGAGTAAGATGAAACTGAGGCTAGCAAAGGGATTCTAAGAAGAAGCCTATTCCAGTCACAGAACTCAGGTTAGTCTCAGGATAGTCTACAGGAACCTCTTAGGTCAGAAGAGCAGGATGGGACTGAGAACTGGAGGACTGGTCAAAGTCTGAAACAAGGAACAATTAGATCCTAGATCTCTTGTCCCACTTGGTGGAAGAGCAGTTTACAAGGTGAACCAGAGAGTCCAGACTCAACAGAGTAAGAATCAGAAGTCATACTGAAACTGGGGGATGAAACTGGACAGATTATGTGGAAAACAAGGAATCTTCTCTTGTTTGGCTCCCAGAACACTGGCAACTAGTCGTATATCCCTTGGCCTTTAAATTTAAATACCTCCTCTTCGGACTGACTAATCAGAAGATGAGGAGGCCCCAACTGAAAAAGCCAGTTCATCTGTTGATCCACACTGAAACCTACTAGCGGATAAGCCTTGCCCTGCAAGCAGAGTTTCCAATCAGTTTTGGCTGCGCCAAACTCATAACAAAGCCTAAACTGTGAAAGAGACAAAACAAATAGAACAAGAGCAAACAGACAATGTAGAATCCAGAAGAAAATTTACTCAGAACTGTAATTAAAAATACCTCAGAGACCAAGATTTTATATCTGTAAAAGAAGGAACATAAAAAGGAATATGGGTCATCAAATTTAGATTTTTAAAGAAAAAAATTATTAAAGTTTTAATTTTTAAACAGCAGACTGCAGTATCAAGATATGAGCTGCACATTTTTCTTCACCAATGATCTCATTTGTCAGCACAACAAATCAGAATGTCTTGTGGACAAGTTAAAAGATATTTGCATTTGTTCCTAAATTTGGGAAACTCAGTTAACTTTTATTTTTATTGTCAGTTTCATGAAAAGCTTTATATTGATACTTTTGCTGTTTGAAAAGATCCGTTTTCTCTCTAGGTACTTTTCTTTGAACAGTTCAGTTTATTCAGTGAACTCTGAGCACCTACCTGTACCAGAGACATAGTGCCCAGGTATCCTCCTTACCCTTAAAGAACTAAGTATCTAGGAAACAATCACATGATTTCAATACTAAGGTGTTAAGTGCAAAGGTAAAATTTACCGAGAACTACTAGGACAAATACCATTTAGCTTAGGCCGACGGGTAAATGAGTAAGGGGGCCAGGTAGCAGAGGAAAGGCCAAGCCAACGTCCAATGGTAGAGAATGAAGGTGGAGAAGAATTTCAGGAAGAAAGTATGGTAATACAAACTGGATGTGGTATTACAAAGCAGTTTGGTGTTACTTAAAACTTTACGTGTAAGTAAGAATGATAGGAAATGGGATGGGAGAAGTAAATCCCAGGCCAAGTAACATAGAATTTATGCTCTGTGATGGAACCATTGAATAATTGTAACCTGGGGACTGATTGGTGTTTTATATCAATCACTAAAGGAAGATAAATTTGAGAGGAGCTAGGGGTCTAGTTAGGAGACTATCAAAGCAGTCTAGGTATGAAGACATGAGTTTGAGCTGTAGTAGTAAAAGTTGAGAGAAAATGATGGATTTGCTGGAGGCGGGCAGAAAGATAAAGTCCACAAGATTTGGAGACCGGTTATAGATGTAAGGGAGAGGGAAGGAATAATTCCCAGGCTTCTGGTTTGGTTGCCTGGATATCAATTCCTGATTGTGCTGTGAATGAGAGATACAAATAGAGGGAAGGAGTAGAAGAATTGAGTTTATCTTGGGGCATCTTGATTTTGAAGTGCATGGAGGACATTCAAACATCCTGCAAACAGCTGGATATGAGTTTGAAATTCATTTACGAGGTCAAGGCCTAGAGATGGAGATCTACAGGTCATCATCATAGAGATTAAAGCCAAAGGTGGAAGATTAAGAATTTCCCAGAGATGTTGAGTACAGTAAGAAATTGAGATACCTCATCTTCTGAGGCAGACAGCAAGGAGATGAGGGTAGTTCTAGACATAGCTGTTCTTTGAAGTGGTAGGGGAGAAGAGGAAATTAAGAATGTTCTAGCTTGATCGTCTCCATTTTATGGAAGAAGCAAGAGTTGAGGCTGCTGAGAAAGTGATACTTAAAGTGATAGAGTTTTGGAACAGAAACTGATGGGACTAGAAAGAGGGCAGGACAAGAAGGACAAGGACCTCAAAGTACTGGGGGCTTAAATTTGGCCCAAAGAAGTTGTATTGATGTTCAATGGTCTGAGTAAGGGAATGGAGAAGGCAAATTGCAGCACTGATATGGATGAATCTATTCTTTTTTTTATATTTATGGAATGGATTACTATCTTACATCATCAGTTACTGTTTTATCTGTTTCTCTAGGAAAACATTCTTGAGTCAGTGGTTCTGGATGGAAGAAGGAAAGTTTAGGTATTAATGCCAAGGATTGTTACAGGATTAAAGAGAGTTTTCAATAATAATTGCACATAAGAATTACATGGGGAGCTTTTAAAACTATTGATGCCAGATCCCAAATCCCAGAGAATCTGAGTGTGGCCTATTCATCAGAATTAAAAAAAAAATTCCCAGATGATTTTAAACGTGCAGCTAGGGTTGAGAACCACGGAGCTAAAGAGAATGAAAACTGGCAATAAAATTTTTGTCATATATGAAATGACCTAGATGCTACTCATTAAACATAACATTAAACATAACTTGATAAGGCTAGGATAGGTCTAGAATGTCAGTAGCAGATGCCTCCGCAAATAATTTCTACCCAGAGATTTTTAAAGATATCAGTTTAATTTCAATCATGCTGAGGAAAGAAAGTGATTACTTCTCTCTGAGGATCTAGGAATAAAAGAGAATTTGGTAGTCAGAACTTTTTTTATCTCCAGGATTTTCTTGTACCAGGGATGATGATGCTGTCATAAATCACACACAAATTAGCAGTGAAAGATTTGGCAGAGTAAGCCCTAAAAAATGTACATATAGTAATTCAAACTCTGGGGAACTAGCTGTAGAATATACTCTTCAATTCGGAAAGTTTTACAGTGTGCGTAAAGCCATTACTTATAACAGTTAATAATAAATGTCTATAGAGTTCTTAAAATTCTGTGGTTATTTTACTCTGAAGAAATGGGGATATCGCATGTTTGGGGAATTCTCTACTGAATATTGGAGAGAATAAAAAAAAATTTTTTTGAATGTAATACTGTTTTTTAAATTATACAATGATTCAGAATTTAAGTTTGTACTGGCCAAC